CATGGCGCTACTGACTGGTGATGTCAATTTCAGATATGCAAATACCAGTAACTAATCCCACAGAATCCAAAGGGAAAACATGCAGCGAATCCAGAGAGTGTATTTGCAGCTGTAGTAGCTCATCACCGGACCATGGTGATGACGTGCGCTATCACCACGGAGAGTGCTCATAGCAGAATTGGTACGACCATCATAACCACAAGAAACATAGCAAGTAGAACGAGTAGCAAATGCAGGCGGTGTATTTGCGAGCCATTATGTCTGTTTGTGGATATGTTTGTGCAAGTTGTAGCGGTCGTAGTAGTCAGTGGGTGGTTTGGGTAGGGGCACTCTGGAAGGACCCTTGTAACTGCAAGTTTCTGCACTGCTCAGATGCGCTGCGCAGCGCGGGCGATGCTCTTGCCAACCTGCCATGGGTTGACATGATATGTCTCAGCAACGGAGATAATGCGTACCGTGCAGGGAAGAAATCCTGACACAAAGTATCCTCGTGCTTTGTGTTTAACGAGACTTTAGCCTGTAGTGGTGCATGTCGTACCATGTGAGATGGGGTACCTCGTGTTGTTGCTCATGGAGCTTTATAGTTAGGATCCTTGTGCTTGGGTATGCAGGCAGTCCTTCTCTGAGACATGGCCACCTTTGGAACTCAGGATGGGTGATCCTTTGGCAATCTATTCTCAATCTTCAGAAGCCATTACAGCAGGTCCGGCATCTCTGCCAACACCTGTCCAAAGTCTGTGCCTGGCTCATTGGCATTGAAGTGCTTTAGTAACAATTTGGCATGCACCATGCGCCCTGAGCCCCCTTGCTTGTGGGACGATCAGTTGTTTAAAGTTCGGAGTACCAGCAACCATGGTTTCCAAATATCATCACGGTATTATGAATGTCGATGGACAGAGCTTTCAAACGTGCACGCGTGGCCCAAGGCAGCAGCTTTCTGGGTCTGGCTTCGGAGGCAGGGCGTGCCGCTTATGGTAGCTCTCAGGGGTTGGTCCTTACCAGCTTTTCATGATTTTGACTCGAAGGCTGCTTCCTGCCGTGACTGTTTTCGGGAATGTTTGTGGGCGGAACCTAGCACATTCGGACGTTGTTTTCCATGATGGTAGGAGTTCGCTCACTCTGATATTTCTGGTTGTGACAGCTTCCTATATCAGGCGCGCAGGCAGACACTTAAATATGGGCATGGACACATGTGCCTGCACACACACATGTGTACCCGAAATTGATTACATGCAGGTTGATGCGAGATGCTCTCGATTGCTGCCAGTAGACTTGTGTCATATGATGCAGGAACTTCGACACATGCACTCCTCGTGACTGCAATTAGACGACTGCGTAGCTTCAGGATGATGGCGACAGTGGAGGCGCTCTGCCCGGAAGCGAGCAGTGCGGCGCCCCAGCCTGGGTTGGCACAGCTCTGGCATCAATGTTCTTAGTTAACTACGGAACGCTCTGGATTTGGGTGAGTTTTTATAGCCATTCTGTCGTTGAAGCTGCGTGATGCACCTTGTTGACTCGGGCCAGCCATCGGGTCATTGGCAAACACTCGAGATTTTCAACAGAACATGGTTTAGAGGCTTTGCACAGACACTTGGGCTGGGAGTCTTCAGCATCCCAATAACATGTCTGAGGTTTCACGGCGCTGTGAGCTCTACATGCGATTTGGCGGGGCTCATGTCCTGAAGCATGCTACACGGTAGCCACTACACGCAAAGTGGGATGTACTTGAGCAGCCTGCAGCTTGAGAATCAAGGTTGAAGAGTCGAATACATGGTTTCTGTAACAACTTGCTAAGGCACATGCTGGATGCACAGCGGCTCAGAGAGGCGACCGTGCTTTTGCTCGAGGCCTGGTGCCGTCAGGTTCACAGCCTACGTACAGTGATATGGGGTGTTGGGTTGCCAAGTTGAGCACGTGGTTGCCTCTCAAAGAAGGTGAATCGAAGGGTGCTCTTGAAAGGACACGTGCGTGGCAGCAATGGTGCATTGAATCTCGAGTCTGAGTTGCCTACATCGAGCACGCAAGCGCTCGTCCGACTCAGCACCCCGGCTCGTAGGGAGGCTCACGGCCAGGATGTGACTTGCCAAGGCACTGGTGGAAGCTGTGCCGGGACAAAGGCGGAAGGCATGTTGGTGTGGGCATGTTGGTGTGGAGGGGGCCAGGAGGGAAGCACGCTAATTGGGTAGGAGGGGGGCTGTGTGGCGTGCCCAACAAAAGCCTGACAGTCCGTCCCATGACCAAGAAACGAGCTAGGAAAACCACACAAGTAATTATCACGGCCAGGAAATGCCAGGTATACGGCCTGGACATCGCAGGGTTTCAGAACCTGAGAGTGGGAACCCTGCAGAAAGCGGACTCATGTATGGTAAGCTCTATATAATCCCCATATATGCCCTTATAATTTATCATTGACCCTATATGCACTCCCACTCTCCCTTGAGATCCAACTTGTAGGGGCTAAGTCCAGGAAGTCGTGGGATCAGTGTTCCAAAAACTCTCCGAGCTCGCAGCCTTGGCAACAGCGAATGTGTTTACCTGTGGCTTCATAGGTGTTTTATAGGATTATGTAGGTTTATATTGTGATGAAAAAAAATGAAGACTAATATTTAGGGTTCAGGGTTTAGCACTGATACCATCGGCGCGTGCTTGCGTGCTCGAACAAAAACTTGCACAGAACTCATTACCTAAAAGCCTGACAAGGCCTAGGGCGGTTTTCATTTTGAGGATTCAGGGCTTTGGTACTCGGTTCTCCTGATGTGGCTGCAACCATGCATGCTGGAGATTGTCTACTACCTATGACAAGCGCTGCTAGACTAGATACCTTGCGCTTGAAATGCGGCTGGTTTCAGTAGAGAAGGAGGCAACAGTCCTGCGTGGAATGGACTTGCTTCACAAAACACCAGTTGAAGTTCTCAAAAAGCAGACCCAACAAAGGTGACCGCTTTTGGTTCTGACGGGTTGCCAAGCAGAGTTTTGACTAGCCTCGTTGGCTCTGGCAGGCTGCGGAAAGCGACCTTTGCAATGAGGCAGCCTTTTTGATTTCTCATTCAGGCATTCAGTGTCCCAAGCTTGAACATGACCCTCGCATCATGAGAGGACCTGTGGAACCAGCTTTTGCAGCTAGCCACAGGCTCCAAGCTGCTGGAGGAGAGCATTTGCCTCTGCATATTGATACCCGCATGTGGAAGTGCTCATTGGTTCATCCCCGTGCAAACAGGATACGCTAAGCGCCCATCTTGCCCTACGGGACGGTAGCGGCAGCGAGAGCTCCGAGGCAGGCAGAAGGACTTCGCAGCCGTACTAGTTACGAGTACCTGTCACGCTCAATACCACTGAGTAAGATGTCCGGCGTCGCAGTTGAAATGTAGGCACTCGGCCTTTCAAGTTGTCATAGATCTGGCAACGTGGTGACAGGCTAAAGAAGTCATGGTTTTGGGACTCGTCCTGAAATCTGTAGTTGTACATAGTTGCCCGAACTTACCTCTACAACAACCTTCTAGACTCGAGGTGTGGAAGAAGAGCCAGCTTATTGCTGATCTCCGCCGTGCTCGTGCCCGGGGTCCTGGCTTTGGCTTGCGACAGGCTCACATTGAAAGCTGCTACCAATGGAGCTTGGTCAACGGAGTTCGAAGCCCTTGCTCAGAACTGAGGCAGCTCACGAAGCACAAGCCAGCACACTGTGCCAAACGGCACAGAGGCAGTTGAGCTTTCGGCTGCAAACAGTTTTCAGCAGTTCTGCCTTTGCTAAAAACTGCAATTATGGCTAACGGCTAACGGATTTTCTTGAGAAGATATGGGACAACCATCCGACAGGTTGTTTGTGTTTCATTTTATTGCTCCATATTGCTTACCGCACTCTGTGATTTATTCAGGCAGGATCTCGCCAGAATGCGAGGGGCTGGATTTGAGAGTGTCCATAGCCATAGACTTGATTTTGCACCAGGTTGATACAGAGTATTCTGACTATATGACTTTAGGTCGTATCAGAGGGAGATGGCAACAAAAACTGCAGATCACGCGGAAGGCCTAAGGCATTTAATTAACTTTTACTGTGTTTGGCTTGATGGGTCTGAAGGGTTTTGTAAATGCTGTGCGCTTCATAAAGAACAATGATTGCCGTGATGCTTTCGTTTGTGCAGTTCTGAGCTCTGACCCGAGCTCCCCGTACCTAAATGATGATGGGGAGTCTGCGGGATATAGCAGTTGAAAGCCTTAGCAGGAGCCGGGACCCCGCTCCCAGGTGGGGCAATCTATCTGTGGCTCTATCTGAGGGCACCTGAACAAAGTGTAGGCTATAGCCCTGACCCTAAATGTAACCTGCGCTGCTGTATGGCCATGCAAGTGGCAAATACAATTACACACTGTAGGTCGCACGAACCTCCAATTATGAGCTTGAAATACAAGGGCTTTTTGGATTTATCCAGGGGTGAGTTTGCCGGATGATGCGGGGGTTTACTCTGATATGCTGCCTTCAGGCGTCGTAGGGGGTGTCAAGAACCTGGCGTTTGAATTTCATTGACGGGATAGGTTGAAGCTGTAGCTAAAGCTCAAGATGCATCTCACTCCTCAGCTGTGCGTGGTGATTTTTGCATTTGTGCCTTAAGTTTGCTTAGCAGGCAGGACAATTGCTGTCTCCGTCAATCTGATACCTTCACAGTTCATCCTCTGAATCGCAGCGGTGCTTGGCTATTACCCCTGGTAAGTTTGAGCAGGTTGCGGAAGGTGGCAGACGGACCGGCTGCTGTGGAAGCTGGTTGCTGAGCATGAGAGTGCTAAATCGCTTTCTGCCCTGCATCCGTTCTTGGACAAGGCTTATAGTGTTTCGGCAAGTTTTATGCTCAAGAACATACTGCTGGCAAACACTCCAGCACTGCAACTGCTCAGGCCATATCCTTGCTCGTTGAGCTTGCTCGTTTGCAAGACTCGGAGGTGTTGCAGGCGCCAGCACATTTGCCAAGATGTCCTTTTCTACAGTCTGCTTTGAAAGAAATCGTGCAGGTATGCTGAGCAAGGAACAGGTCTCACGTGTGTTCTGGCCGCCGCCTGCTCAAGACCAGAACCTAGCGCAGATAGACCCAACTTTTTCCGAGAAGATTCTCACGCGGAGAATGCCTGTCTCCTCAGCGGAACCGGAGGTTCAGCCTGTAGAGGATGTGGAAGACGAGATGGTGCAAGCAGAGGCCAAAGAGGTGGTGGCGACCACAAAGGCTCGAATCCCCTCAGCCTCACTTTGCAAGCTCTTCTCCATGATGGATGCCACGGATGCTCTGGTGCTTTTGGTTGGCATTTTGGGAGCAGTCGGTAATGGAATCTCGCAGCCTTTGTTGTGCATTGTCTTCGGTGACATCATTGATTGAATGGGCGCGGCCACGGGAGGCGCAGCCTCCCTGACGCCGGAGATGCTGCTTACTGCCATGGACAACCTCATGGGACAGATGGAGGACTTGTGTATCACCATGATGTTGGTGGGAGTCGGTGCCACCATTGCTGCAGCCTTGCAGGGGGCCTGCTTCAAGATCTTTGCTGAGAAGCAGGCCTTCAAGTTCCGCATCCTTTACTTCGATGTCGTGTTGCACCAAGACGTCAGTTGGTATGACACCAGGGAGATTGCGGCACTGCCCTCAGAGATCAATGATGATCTAGAGAAGATCCAGGATGCATTCGGTGACAAGTTCGGGAGTGGCGTCATGGCCTTCTCAGCCTTTGCCGGAGGCTTTGCCTGTGCCTTCGGCATGGGCTGGCTCATCGCGCTGGTGATGTGCTCCATCCTTCCATTCATGGGTGTAGGAGCCGCCTTCATGGGAAAGGCCGTGCAGGAGATCCAGAATGAGTCTCAAAGCTGGTATGCCAAGGCCTCCGCAGTTGTGGAGGAGTGCCTGCACGCCATGCGCACCGTGGTAGCCTTTGGCGGTGAGCAGCGTGAGCTGAAGAAATTTGCGGGAGCACTGGTGGAGACACGCCGTGGCGGTGTCAAGAACGGGTTCAAGGCTTCCAGCATGCAATCATGACACTGATGCCCTGTTGTTCCCCCAGTAGCTTCCGAATCCTAAGATATTCAATGCCTTCCCGGGCCAGGTTGGTGCTGGCATGGGCTACACCATGATGATCGTGTTCTTCGGCTATGGCTTGGCCTTCTGGTACGGCATGACGCTCCGTTACAATGATGAGATCAACCCAGCCACTGGCCAGCTCTGGCAGCCGGGGACCATTATGGCCATCTTCTTTTGCATCTTCATTGGGAGCTTCATGATCGGAAACCTTGATCCCAGCTTGAAGGCAATGAAGGCTGCTCAAACAGCAGCGGGACGGTTCTTCAAGGCCCTGGAGAACAAGCCCAGCATCCAGTGCCGGCTGAAGGACGAGCGCGAGGAGCTAGAGACCATTGAAAAGTTTGAGTTCGAGTCTGTGCACTTCACTTATCCCGCAAGACCAGATGTAAAGGTCCTGAATGGTCTTTCCCTCAGCATCCAGCGTGGCCAGAAAGTAGCCGTGGTGGGCGAGTCTGGCTCCGGGAAGTCCACGGTCATGGCGCTGCTGGAACGCTTCTATGATCCAGATGCCGGGTCCGTGCTGGTAAACGGCAAGGACATGCGAAGCTTCAGGATCACATCCTTGCGGCGCTGCATTGGTTATGTCGGGCAGGAACCTGTGCTCTTCGCAAGCTCTATCCGCCACAATATCATGCAGGGCAATCCCACTGCAAGCAAAGAGGAGTTTGCCAAGGCCTGCGCAGATGCGCAGCTGAACTTTGTGGAGAACCTGCCCAACAAATACAACACTTTCGTGGGCAGCGGCGGCGGCCAGCTGTATGGTGGCCAGAAGCAGCGCATCGCCATTGCCCGGGCCTTGCTCAAGAAAGCCTCCTTCCTTTTCCTAGATGAGGCGACGAGCGCCTTGGACAACACGTCTGAGAAGATGATCCAGGCAACCATCGACAACATCAGTGCCAACACGAATGATGGCCTGGGCATCGTGAGCATCGCGCACCGCCTCAGCACTGTGCGAAACTCTGACCTCATCTATGTCCTCAGCCGTGGCACCCTAGTGGAGAAAGGAAACCATGCCGCCCTCATGGAGAAGAAGGGCACCTACTATGCACTTGTGGCTGCGCAGGAATCCTCCTACAAGGCAGATGAGGAGGAACTGGAGACGAACGTCGTCCAGGACCAGACGTTGCAGATGGTGAAGCGAGCGTCCACCAACTCTGGAGAGTCTGAGACTCAGCGTGTGAAGAGGGAGAAGCAGCAGGAGGCTAACCGAGAGAAAGACATTGCCAAGAACTACAAGGCGCCATCCAACCCACGGCCTTTGTGTGGGCATGTTTGCAGTAGTGACCCCTCTACCCCGCAACTGTTCCTTCTGTCTGAGTCCCTGTAAGGTACCAATGCGCCGACTTCTGAGCTACAACCGCCCAGAGTGGCCTTTCTTTGTGCCCGCAATTCTTGGAGCCATTGTGGACGGCTCGGCCATGCCCGTGTGCACCATTGCCCTTGTTGGCTCTATGGAGGGCTTTTACAAGCCAGACAAGGAGGAGATGAGATCAGACCTGGAGCAGATGGTTTTGATCTTCGTCATCATCGGCGTCAGCGCGTTTGTCGGCTCAACCGTCTCTCACGGCTGCTCTTCAATTCTGGGCGAGGCCATGACGCAGCGCCTCCGTGTAGCCATCCTCACTGGCATGTTCCGTCAGGAGGTGGGCTTCCACGACGACCCAAGCAACACTCCTGGGATGCTTTCGAAGGCTTTGGAGCTGTGGGCCTTCCGCGTGGCGGCACTGTGCAAGTCCGTGCAAGCCAAAGCCGCGGCCATGAGCTCCTTGGTGGTGGGTCTTGTGATTGCCTTCGTGTACTGCTGGCAGATGTCTCTGGTGATGTTAGGCTCCGTTCCTATCATGGTGGCCGCCAACGCTCTGCAGATGCTTGTGCTCCTGGGGGCCTCAAAGAGCGAGAACGAAAACATCACCAATGCCCAGCAGATTGTGGTGGACTCCGTGATGAATGCCCGGACCGTCCAAGCACTGGGCGTGGAGAAGTCTTTGGTGACCATGTACCTTGGCTGGGTAGAGAAGTCGATGCAGGGCATGTGGAAGCGCAACATCCTGGCTGGCATGGGCTTTGGCGTTGCAAACGGCATCATGTTCTTTATCCTGGCTGGGGGCTTCTACATTGCATCCTTTCTGATCAAGGAAGGTGTCGCAGACTTCCAGGGTGTGATGATGGCCTTCATGGGCATCTTCTATGCCGGTATGGGTGCCGGCCAGGCAGCCGTCATGGTCGGCGATGCCACCAAGGCAAAGGTGGCTTGCCACGACATGTTCAAGTTGATGGATCGTGTGTCTGCTATTGATGGCTTGGAGCCCGTTGGGGACACGCCGAAGAGTCTGCTGGCCGGCAAGATTGAGTTCCAGGATGTGAAGTTCTTTTACCCCTTCCGGCCAGAGGTACAGGTGCTGAAGGGCATCACTTTCAGCATTGAAGCTGGCCAGTCTGTGGGTTTGGTAGGGCCTTCTGGTAGCGGGAAGAGCACGGTTATGTCGCTCATCCAGCGCTTCTACGATCCTCAGGAGGGTCAGGTCTTCATCGGCGAGCAGCGCGTGCCCTTGAGCTCCGTTAATATCCGCTGGTGGAGAAAGCAGATCGGCTTTGTGGGGCAGGAACCCATTCTCTTCAACACCACGGTGCGTGCCAACATCATGTACGGCCTGGATGAGAATGAGACCGTCACTGAAGACTACGTCAACCAGTGCGAGAAGATGGCTAATCTTGCCTTCCTCTACAAGAACGGGAACAAGGGCCTGGAGACGGAGGTAGGTCCTCGAGGAGGTCGGCTTCCAGGTGGCCAGAAGCAGCGCGTGGCGATCTGCAGAGCATTGATCCGCAACCCGCCAGTGATGTTATTGGATGAGGCAACCAGTGCCCTGGACACGCAGAGCGAGGCGATCGTGCAGAAAGCTCTAGAGGCTGCTCGAGAAGGGCGCACTTCCTTCGCCATTGCTCATCGGCTGTCCACAATTCAGGGCTGCGATGTGATTCTGGTGAACGCTGACGGCCGGGTGGTGGAGAAAGGCAACCATGAAGAGCTGATGGAGCTGAAGGGGGTCTACTACAAGCTGCAGATGCAGGCACAAAAGTGAGACGAGGTGGCCTGGCCATTCCTCGCTGCAATACCTAAATGCGAAGGTTTGCGAAGGTTCTAGTCGGAGGTGGGTCGTGATCGGCAGTATGTTTAGTTTTTTCCCGCATTGCGAAGCAATCGGACCACTGCCGCACATCCGCGCTGCAGCGGCTGGCAAGCTATAGGGCTCAGACCGCCTATACAGATCTAAGTTTTGCTTCTCTTCCGCTTGTAAGCCTCGACGGCTTGTTGAGGTAGACAGCGCGCATCGGGGGCGCCCAGCCCGCCTACCAAACGGATTGTTTGGATGGTGAAGGCTTAAAAGGCGCACAGGTATGATCATTTTCGTAGACCTGTGTTTGACAGGTCAAGCGTCCGGACCAGTGATGGAAGATCCATTGTAGAACGATCCTTCCGACCGCTGCTGGTTTACACAAAAGCTTGGCTTTGCACATGTTGTCACCCAGAGACGCATCCCAAACGCACAAGGCCTCCCACATGTGTCCTTGTTCCCACTCTTTGAAGCGCATGCCAGCAGAACCTCATGTCTCAGTCCAAGTAGTTTTCGTACGCTGACAAAGTAGAGCAGTAGAGCTCGCCAGGCGCAGGCGTCATAATTTGCAGATTTCGCACGTAGCATCACTTGGAGCCCCTCTTTGCTGTGAAGGTCTTTGTGGAAGAGCGGGTTCTATCGCGTGCTCTCCGGCACCTTTTCAACAGACCATGGGGGGCTCTCATGCTCAACTCGGCAGGGGCCTTTGTGGGAACTTTTGAGTCAATTTATTCCCGGAGCTTCCCGGAGCTTCAGCTGGCTGAAAGATTTGGACGGCTGTGAGGCAGTTGACTTCAGGTGGCAATAGTTTTGCTGCATGGGAAGGTCTCTTGCTGCTAGATGTCTGTCGAATGCTGGGCTCAAGCCTGACATCATCGCCAGAGGTGATGGCTTCGTCACATACTGACACTAGCAGCTGCAATGCTGACCATGATGAGGCGCATGACAGCCATGGCCTAAAACTGGCCCTTGTTGGCAACGAATCTGTGGGGAAGACGTCTTTGTGGTTGCGCTTGGGGAGTGAGGCTTCGAACGAACTGGTCACTTGTTCGCTCCCCTGCAGATCCTCTACAGTCATGGTTAACAGCGTCAGGGTGCAGCTCTGGGACACCTCCGCTAAGGAGCGCTGTCCCACTCTTGCTTGCTGTGAATGTTGTCAAGGTATTCTTGTTGTTTATGACATCACGCATCGGCAGACGTTCTATGCGGTTCCATTCTGGATGCGTGACTTGCGTGAACATTTGCGTGAGCATGTGCGCCCTGAGCCTGTCATGATCATAGTCGGAAACAAGAGTGACAAAGTGCAAAGCAGAGAAGTTTCCTACGAGGAGGGCTACAATCTGGCAGCCGGACTAGCGCTGCCCTTTCTAGAGACATGCGCGCTTGACGGCACAGGTGTGCAGGAGAGTATCGACATGGCCTGTAAGTCCGTACTTGCAGATATGCATGCGCCCGGCAGGAAAGAAGGATTTGGTGTTTCGATGCCCAACATGAGTTATAGTTATTCTGTGCGGGACTTCAAATTGGTCATTGCTGGTATTTCCGGCGAAGTGATGCTGGAGCTGGGGGATGCTGTGCCGACCACATCTGTAGCAGATGTCTTGCACATGATTTTGGCTAGGATGCAGAGTCCCAGGGTCATCCAGCTCTGCTTGGGCACAAGAGTCCTGCGAGAGTCAGCTACCTTAGAAGAGTACATGCTGCCAGGGCAAAGAGTACTGGAGCTGACTTGTTTGAAGCTTCAAGCTCTCAAGCTGGCCGCTGATATCCAAGACGCTGAGAGTGTGAATATGAAGCTGATATTCTCCATACTTGGCGATACGGCTGTGGGAAAGACTTGCCTGAAGAACCAGTTTGCGCCATCAAGCCCCGAGTTTGCAGGTGCAGACGATGAACCTTGCATCATCTCCCTGGGCGACAGGAAGTTGCTGCTGCAGATCTTAGACGCAGGACTTGTAAACATGCGTGCCCAAGATTGCTCAGCGCGTTGTGCCGTCCTGATTGTGTATGACGTTACGAGAAAGCACACCTTCTACCACGTCCCACATTGGATTTACCAAGCCAGATCCGAGAGCGATGTGGCACCTGCTATTACCCTGGTCGGCAACAAGAGTGATAAGATTGAACATAGGCAGGTGTCATATGAAGAAGGGCTGAACCTCGCCACCGGTTTGGGCATACCGTTTCTGGAAACATCTGCAAGCAGTGGTCAAGGGGTCAGCGATGCCTTCCTGACCACTTGCGAGCATGCATGGCGCCTGGGCTTTATCCCGCTTACAGTAGCGGATGGTGGCTAGACCAAGCATCACCCCGCGAAGAGAGGCTGTGAAGTTATTGCAGAAAACCTTCTTCGTGATCTTTCTACTGTAGCGCGTGGAGCGCCCTTATCCGGGCATACAAGTTCTTCATCATCGAGAGCGAGGATCTCCATCCAGTCTGTCCACCACACTTGCCAGATCAAAGCACATCTCGTCTGTCTGAGTACAGGAACAACCCCAGCGCCATCCAAGCCCTGCCCTGCAAGCTCGCAGCATACCCTGCCCCAAATCTGTGATGCTGTTGGTTGGTGACGCACGATTCTTGCCCGAAAATTCTTCATCCAGAATGCAGTAGCCTCAAACTTGCTGGATCACCCAGCTTAACCAGTAGACAGCTTGAGGGCCAAGAAGGTGCCAGCATGTGTGAGCTAACCTGCTGCAGAAAGGTTGGGCACAAGTTGTGCAAAGGGAGCCAAGGTAGCTACTTGTTTCAGGGGTCTTACATGAACATCGCCTACTCCAAAAGTGGTGCAACGAATTGAGGTTACAGCGCTGTGCGTGGAAGTCATCCGAAGTCCTGAGCAGCAGGGGAAGGAGGCCACATGAATTGGATTCTCATGTGGCGTTAATCCAGGGGACAGTTGTAAGGCTGACATCCTCTGTGCCCAGCCCCTGCCGACCTTAAGCTTTCCGGTTCTTCTTTTTCGCCAGCAAGACTTGCCGCATGCCTTCTTAATCAGCCTGCCACAAGCGATCTGCGGCAGGCCACCGAGAGCTTGCTGGAGGAAGGCATCACGCAGTGAGGTTCTAGGGCCGAGAGTAAGGGACGGTACCAAGCACAAGTACTCCAAGATTTTAGTGCTACGGCTTAAATGGTGATTATGGAGCATGGGGAAGGTGAACGCACAGGCACAAGCCGCGGCCTGTAAATTACGATCTATTTTGAAGAAGCAGTATTAATAGTAGCAGAAGTGGTAGGGATAGCTTCAATAGTGGTGATGGTGCCAGTGGGACGGAAGACAAAAGGAAATGAGATCAAAGAAACGTGAGTGATAGGACTTCTCTTCGCCTGGTACATGCACAGTTGTTTCTGTGCTGTATAGGAAGGTTGTGGCCTCCAGACCTTCGGGAATCGGGAATCTCCTGCTTCAGATGGCCCGCTGCGCAAGCTCCAAGACTGAGGATGGCTAATCCACACATAAGCAGTAGCCAGTAGTCCCTCAGAGGGGACGTGGTGATGAAAAGCCACATGTAACTTCCAGTAACTTCCAGCTGCGGGCCCAGGACTAGTCAGCGATGTCAGCTTCACGCTGTGTTTATGCATTATATCCTAGTTTTTGTTTGAGTAGCGATCATCTTGACTGTCTGGCAGACTTCCTCCTGGGCCGTGTGGCCGATGTCCTTCGGAAGCACGCAGAGGTGAGGGAGGCTGCGCTGCTCAATGACTCGCAGAATGTTCTGCAAGATGCCGATGGCACCAGTACATGCAGCCATGCCAGCAATACGGAGTTTGACCAGGGCAGGTGGTCACGACCTCGCCTGATCTCATATCGGTTCATAGGGAAAGTGGTTCCAAAGCGGCAGTATTTCAGCTTCTGGAGATATTGCACATGAGTCAGTTTGACTGGAACAGGGTTAGAGATACTTGTGGATCGGATAGTTGCTTGGGCCCAAAACATGGATGATCCATAGGCTTGTACCACAACCATTTTGATCATGTTCAGGGCTCAGCTTCTCGTGTACTTTAGAACTGCACGCCAGGTCTCAAGTTTTCGAGCACGCCTGCAAGACGTATTCCAACAGATCGCGCGCGGTGCTACAGCAAACGGACTTTACCTTTGTCCACCAATGAGGTCATGCATAGGGCGCATCACCACCGCCCCAAACAAACCCTACTTACGCCCCCATCACAGACTCTGCAGCCGATGGCCTTGGAGTCGGCTCATGCTCTGATGAGGGCCCCTACTTGAAAAAACCGCTGGGGCATTGCTTCTACTCTGGTCATTCCGGCGCTTGCCCAGGAACAGCCATCCAACATTCCAGATTTCAATTGCAATTGAAATTCCAAGTTTTCATCAAGTTGCAGGTTTGACCCCCATGGCTCGCGATCCCGCCGGTTGAGCTGGGCACCCCATAATCCAGGATGCAACAGCATGCCAGGAATCCTGAAAACGAGGTATACTGAGAAATTGCATCATTCATTTAGCCATCGGATGACCTTGCTTTGACCATATCACCGAACACTTTTCCTCATACTATAGTGGTCACTTTCAGGTTATTGTGCGTTTGCCATCGGAGGCAAGCCAATGTGTGCTTATTGTATTGAGCACACATGGAATTCTAGATCTGCGCATGACGGCAGCAACGAGCTGTAGCTACTATGTGAATGATGTCAAGCTGGTTGGAGGCGCTGGCGCAGCGGCAAGACAACAAAGGCCTGACTCTCAGATATTCTATTCCAAGACAGAAAACAAGATGGGTGCAGTCTGCCTTTCATAGTGCACCCAGCCTGGATTGAAGAAGGGTCCAAGGTATTGGGATTATGGTGAGAAGGGGCTGCAGCATCTGCTGTGGGCGGCTTCGCTTGAATTTGTTCCGTGCTCCATGCACAATGCACTCCCCTGCTGGCTGTTGCTTGGGGATCTGGACTTCCAAACAAAACATGTTTTTGCATTGTAGCGCTCCAAGGTGAGCTTACCGTGCCGCAGCTAGCTGCACCACTTCGCAAGATATGCGCTCGGGCCCAAGGTGTCAGGTGGCCCGAACTTCGCTCACAAGGGATGTGAAGATGTGAAAGGTTTCTGCTGTGCACGTCTCTCTCTTTGGCTCAAAGGCTCCCACACAAGGTCTGTTTGGCACGTCTCCTGAGGCTATCAGGGTCTTGTGGAGCGGCGAAACTGTCTGCTCAGAACCCCAGCCGGATATGCCGAGATGATGGTCACTCCCTGGGTTTCCTGGGTAGCTGCTAGGATAAGAACGAAACTGTCGCAGCATCCAGTGCGGGTCAATGACAGACCATTCAGCAGTGAATCTTACTCCAAGCTAGCTAGTGCATCTTCAATCCAAATGCGTCAACCTGTCAAATGCTGACCGCTAATTAGGGGCAAACGTAACGCTGCAGAACGATTCCGGGCAATCTTATCTACAGGCGCCATTGGTCATCTCACACCTCAGACGAACCCGCAACCGTCAAGAGATGTCAAGAGTAGAAAGCTGAAAGTAGTGTTGAAGCTGTGGAAGGCAGAGCTGCGTGAAGCTGGCAACAGATGGCCTGAGGCATCGAGCCTTGATTTTTGAGAGCGTCTCCACTTTGATTCAGGGTCGAGGCTAAGTGAGTGTTGCGACAAATGGTCTCTTGACGTCCATGGGAAAGTGCATTGGATAATCTGGCATACTTGGGCAGTTGGCCGTGACCTCAATGCATTGTCTTACATTGCTTGCATATGCCTGCATCATATCTTTGCAGCCAGGTGCACATGAGCCTCTTCACAAATGATGCCTGGACAGAGGCCCAAGCATGGCGTGCAGGGCCATGGCAGGATGGACCCGTCCCAGATATGCAGTAACATTGCATTGCCACTGCCGTTGAAGGTCATTCTCCCAGACTTGGAGGAGTTCACGCAACTTGAGGAAGAGCCGCTGGGCCAGCTGCTCAGGGAAGCATGACCAGATTCTTGTAGATGGGTCTAACAACATACTTCTGGGTTAGGGCCTTTGTGATACGGTTGTCTTGACGGGATCTACGTGCACATGATTGGCGGTTAAAGTTCTGAGGTCTGAGGCGCTGGTAGCTTGTGGTTCTGAGACGGGTTCTGGTGCCTAGGCGGTTTCGACAAGTGCGTAGGCACTGGCTCCGTGGCAGTGGCCTCGGCAGTCTGAGCAGTGTCAGCAAGATTGTAGGTTCATGAGTTATGAGATCTTGGGCTTGTCTTGGGTCTTCGGGACAGATTTGTGGCCAGGCGATCCCTGGCGAGGTAGAGTTCACCCCGGAGGAGAGCCACGATGCAGTGAAGCACATGACTTGATTTGCAGTCTTCATTTGTCGTTGTTTCCCGAGATTAGCACAGGCAAGCATTACTCACCCTTCCTGGGGCGTCCGGTCTTAGCCTTGGGGTTTCTGGGTTTCTGGTTTGGCGGTTTGGCCTTGAATTGCCTTGCCTGCCTTCACCGCGCGCCCTGCGCGGCCCTTGGCGCCGCGTGCTTGCGAAGGTGTCATATTCGCGCACCGTGCCCCCTTGTCTTTCTCACGGCCGCGCCTGTACAGTTCATTTTTTGCCCTTCCAACCCGCACAGATCGCTGGTGGTAAGCATCAAACGGATCTTAGACTCTTAGATGGCCTAAGGCTCATGATGTAGCGCGTGCCCTCTTAGGCCAAAGAGTCAGGCTACAGGGGCATTTTTTTTCAGCCAAGGCAGTATGTAGAGGCATCAGATTGCACCAGGACCTCCGCGACATTGACGAGGATTTCGACACGGAGTCGTGGCCTGAGACTTTTCAGAGTGTTCCCTTTTGGAGTGGCGGGGTTTACAAGGATCAGCACAAGATGCGTTCCTCCTGCTTCTGAGCTCATTGGTAGCAATCCACAGCGCTGCTAAGCGGACGGGTCATGGTAGATGTTCCTGGTGGACGACTTGTGAATGTGCTGGCTTCAGCTGCTACTGCTCATGCTGCGCTGCTAGTGAACAGACATCCGGCCATCAAGCAACTATGTCCTAAGCTTTGAGATTGGCCAGCTATGGCCAGCTGCACGTTTCACGCCTATGACAGGTGCCTGCTGAGTTTGGCTGGGGAACAGATGCTTCAACGGCAGGCTCGAATTTGGTGGTGCTGAGTGTGTTGAGAGCTTTCGGAGCTTTCGTTCCTTGTAGCATTGCGAATTCCCCAGCTTAGTCAGTTCTGCAGTTCTTCTGAAAGAAGTCAGAACATGCTGTCACTTTGTACCATGGCAAGCAGATGCCAGCATTTTTTTGTTGTGTTGACAATCGGGCCACCCAGACTGTAGCAAACCTTCGAGTTGGCTGAAGGAGGCTTTCGGAATTTGTTGTGCCTGACAGGCCCGGGTGGCTGCGCAGAAAGCTGGCGGGACCAGCACTTTGGGGCATGCACCTAGGGCCTCGTCTCAGTTCCGGATTTTGGGCATTTTGAACACCTAGCGCTCTCAGATTCACTGCTTTGCCGTACCTTTATCCTGATTGGCATTGATTTCGAACATTGCTGGTTTTGGTTTCTTGTCCCTGCTAAGACTGGCAGAATGAAAAGGTCTTCTTGCTGTGCGCTTGGCGCGCGGCCTGCCTTCAGAGGTGAGTCACCGGTAAGTCACTGGTAATCTCACCTGCGACATGGCGGAGCCCTAAGCACATCTAAGCACCCTCAGCCCACGCAAAAAGCTGACGGCCTTCGCTTTCGACTGACGCAGGACCGAAGTCGATGCACCCCAAGAGGAGGCTCCCCAGGAGACGAGTCGTTGTCCTTGTCATTGTTTTCGTCCGCATCTTCTTCGTCGTTGATTGTCCCAGCAGTGGTAGGAAAATCGAAGTAGCGGTAGCTTAGCAAGAGTAGCTGTAGTAACAGTAGTAGCAGCACGTGCTTCACTGGTCCTGTGAAAGTTCGGCCATCTAGTGAGTGCCGCTACGAAGCCAAGCTCCGACTAGATTTCTTCCCCAGCTTGATCAGCTGAAGGAGGTCAGATAGTATCACAGTGCCAGTGCCATATTCGGTCGGAACCACCATCCTGGTACAGACAATCCGTTCTAACACGCTACAAGTTAGGGAGGTCAGTCAAAGCAAGAAACGGTTCTTCCTTTTTCAGGGGTACTCAGGCTGCCCTGATGTTGAGAAATGCCCTTGGAGCACCTTTCCAGCTGCACAAGGAGGAACCTGCCGCTGTCCCAGCTGAGAACGAGCCAGGCAAGAAGCGAGGGCTCTGAGGAATCTAGCACAGCAGCCGGACCAGGAATTGTTTTCTTCCCATATCCCTCACCTGTATCATGGTAATGAAATCCATCAAACTCCATCCCAATACGAAGCCCCTCGCTTTATCACGTATAGGCTCCTGCGTATTGTAGCGGGGGCTTTGGCGAGGGCTTGGAGGACAAGCTAAACTTGAGGTTTGTGTAGGTTGGAATATGGCACACAGACTGTACATCTCTCTTCTTCTTCCACAGGCCAAGTGCCTGGTAAACTTTCTCAGGAATCTTTCAGGGCCAGGGTAGCTGGATCCTTGAAGCAGCATGTCCTCGGATAACTGGTTGATTTTGTCAGGCCCGGAGAGTGGAAGTCAAGAAGCCCACCAACTGGAAGAGTGAGCTCAAGCTATCTTAGCTGCTGCACATCACGGGTGCGTGACAGGCAATGCATGAACTCAAGTATTTGACGAGGCGGGGGTCTGTTTGAAACAAGGCTGGGCTAGTCTCAGAAATCGACGAAAATCTGCAAATATTGCCTGAGATGCCCGTGCTGGCTTCATGATGTCGATCTTTGAAGCTTCCGGGGCTGAATTGTTTTTTCATAGCTGTGCATGTTCTACCCGTTCCAACTCAGAGGGTTGTTAGGCCGCTCTGGCAGAACGAAAAATTGCATGTGTCAAAACCTGCTAAGCAACCCATTGAACTTCGGCTGCTTTCCTGCAACGGTTAGAGCGCAAATCTAGACAACAAGGCATCCGCGCGAACTACACTGCTGCCAGGTAACATTTCTGCTACTGTGGCCTAATGGCACTATGCAAAATGCGGGGCGAAAAGTCCCTTTGCCCCTTGCCTAAGGTGTCGGCTGGGTTGAGAACAGGTCCGAGGGAAGATTTCGAGCCTGCACGGTAACTGGTAGGCCTTGTCCATCTCCATCCGTACTCAGAATGGCGTTGTTTTCGGGTCTCCTGCGGACAGGAAATGTCTCCAGGCATCCAGCCGGCGTCTACACCCATCATGCGCTAGTTTGCCCAGCGCGTTCACTTGCGTTTCGGTGCTGGTAGGAATGCACGAGCCTCGCTGCGCGCAGAAGGTAGGAAGGGGCTTGCCGGCCGTCAGCAGTCCTTCTCCATCTGGAGTTCGACTATTTCAGCATGGATGCGCCGTTGCAAAAGCTGAAAAAGCCTGCCTGTACTTCCCCCATGCCAAGGAGCCTCTCGGCTTTATCGTCATATACCAAGGGCATGCAAAATATGGTGCAAATGGTCAAGACATGTCAAAACATTGGCTTCAGCTTCAACCATGCTTAATTGAGCACTGAAGATACGTGAATCCCAGCAGTGAGCTGCAGTGTTTTGCGTTGCGGGAGCTGAAGGCGGACGCTGTGCCTGCTGCATATTAAGCAAGATTTTGGAAGACTTGAGATTCCCGAAAACGTGACGCCTCCCTCTGCTATTGGCTCTCAGATGGCCGCGGCTGTCCATGACTTCCAGGCCCCAAGCTTGCTCCTTCCCAAAAAGGTCTTTGGTGGGAGTTCAATACTGGGGACCACAGTCTGACCTTGGTTGGGCACGTCACAAGTCGCAGAGGAAGGGCATTTGTGTGAAGCATGCATGCACTTGTTACATTTATTTTCCATTAGAGCTCAAGATGTTCGAAGTGGAGGTGTGATGGGTCTCTGCTCGTCTCATAGCTCGGTGCATGGCTCAGACCTGTTCATGCATGCAGTTGCATTGACTCCATTTCCGTTGCAGAGCTTTGAGCAGCCGTAGGGGCAAGGGAGCTGTAGAAATGCTGTAGCTATTGGACAGGCTCGCACCAACTGTTTGTGTAAACTCGCGTCGGGTCGACTTTCATCCTTACTCACGTGGAAAAATATGAAAAATGTCGCTCACCAGGCCCTCTAGTGCTCTTGCCACATTTGGCTCAAGAGCAACGACGGCCACAAATAAGAGGGGAAAGCACTGCGAAGCCTGTACATGTTGCTCCCAAACTCGCGCGCTTGGTAGTCGGGCATCGTAACTGCTTTGCTTACCATCATGAGGCGCATGAAGGACAGTACTATTTCGAAGAGAGTCATAAGGTTCTGTCACAGTGTAGTTCATGCACACTGCACTTCAACACTTGTTGCGACTCTGTCGCAGTTGCGCTTGCTTGTGGCTGAGGCCCATCGAAAATTTGCCGAGGCCAGGTGCACTTGACGGTTGTGTAGCTGGCACTGTTTAACCCATGCCATGAACCAAGCTGTCTGGAAATCTCGCAGATGTGCAACTTTGAAATGGCAGAGGTTGCGCCAGATAGCCGCCAATCTTTTGGCATTTGGTCATGTGTTCGCATCTGCTGCACACAGGCACCAGGGCCCAAGCCACAGACCAGGCGTGGACTCGGATAGGTTTGTTCATGGCTTGTCTCCGCACAGTTGTGTTTAGATTCTGGGTTGGACTCCTTGCTGCATCCCAGCTGGCTAGATTGTGTGAGGTCTGAGACGGGCACAGCAACAGTGTTAGGCTTTAAGGAAGAGCTCGCCAATGCCAAACTATGCTTGCCGTGAGGGAGTCGACCGCTGCACCGGATGATGCGTCAGAGACCAGTTTTGTTTGGGAGGATTTCCTCAGTACATTTGCTCTCTCTTGACCAGTTAAGCTCGGGCGTGCGCAGGAATGAGCAGGGCATAGCTGTCATGTAGCTTCTTTGCTTGTGAAGCTCCTTTGCAGCGCTATCTGTGTGATAGCCGTCGTGCTTGTAAGGGGCCTCGTACGTTGCAGCTGCGAGCCTGCCATCGAGAGCCACGCCAGACTGAGGTCGCAATCCGAGCCATCCGATGATGAGGAGGCGGTGTGCCACCTCAGAGCAGGGACGTGGGAGGTGTGGTCTATGGCGGGCAGGAACGGGGGATGGGGTGGCGAGTCTGAACATGAAGCATTAAGGGAAACAGAAGGGGCTTTCCCCAAACCACGCTGACGTCAAGCACAGCCCAGGGCACGAAGTCGCGATGGGCAGATGTTTCGACTGAGTTCTCGAGCAGGCAAGAACTGCAGATGCATCTTGCCCTTGCACAGCGTAGGAAGTCGCGAGGCATGGGTTAGGTTCAGTGGACTGTCAACTCCACTTTTAAAGGCCTGAGCAGTTGTGTGCGAATCAGAATCCAGCACAAATGGGTCTAACATACCTTACGACGGCGTGTACGTCTTCTCAGCAGGCATCACACCATCACTTGTGTAGCTGGCTCATGAGCATCCGGGGTTGCCTAGGCATGAAGTCAAATCTGCTACAAAGATTCGCCTTGTCCGTGCCAGCAACCAGAGCAACGTTTATCGAGATCTTTGATGTGTGGTGCTACTGATCTGAACCGCAAGAGGCGCCAGTCGGCCTTGTGTCATCCTGACAACCTGGAACCTGCTCAGCTCTGTGGCTGGCAGGCAAGATTCCGAAAGACATATTCTCTCTCGGACCAGAAGTTCCGCTGCACCAAGTTGCACATTGGGCTGGAAGAGTGCGAGCCGTCACAACACCCAGCGTTGGTGGGAGCAGCTGCGGTGGCTGTAGGAGTCGGACAAGAGGTGAAAGGAGAAATCGACAAAGCGGAATTCAGCGGCATAAGCGAAGAAGACAAGCGGCAGGAAGAACATGATACCGGCACGCAGCATCAGGAAATGGAGAGGAAACAGCCGGCAGAACGGGTGCAAGAGGAAGCAAGGCGAAGGTGCAGGCAGGATCCAGAAGGTTGTGACGAACAAGAAAGCAATGACAGCATCTACATCTAGCTGGATGATGCTGGATGTCAGGTCGACGTTGGCGCCGGTGGACATCCTGCATGTATGCTTCATGAATGAGGTAGAGGGCCCCTCTGGCATACCTATGGAAAAATCCACCTTAAACTTCAAGAGGTTCTGGGAAGTTCGCCTGAAGTGTCTTGCAGCTGGCACTGCAGATGAACACCCTCGGCTTCCTCCGCACATGGCCGAACAATGTTGAGCTCTTCATCGATGTTGTCGCCTGCAGCTGGATGATACGATCCCCAAAACACAAGTGCCCCGAACGTTTGGGTCCCGCGGAGCGCTCCTCGGCTGTCGCGTTTGCCGAAGCATTTTTCGAACCGTTCCGAGCATCACAAAGGTGCTGGTCTAAGATGCGGGTTTCAGATGTAACGCGCTTGACAAAATACCGCAGAGCGGGAATGGTAGACCGTGCGCCTTTTGTGCAGGCAAACGACCAGCAGCGGTGGCCGTATGATGAAATGGCGCGGTCCGCTTCGAGTAAGCTGTTTGAAAATTGTTGCCTCAGAAGGTAATTACTGATGAAACCCTGCCCACATCTTCCCTGTCTCGCCACTTCCTAGCGGACAGCAAAAGACAGCGACATACAGCCTTTGCATTGAACTGGCAACCCAGTCATTGTCTCAGGATCAACAATTTGATCCTGCATTCGTCCTGTCGCTCGGATGCAGCTCTTGTGGTAGCACGGGGGCGAACCGGGAGATGAATCCGACACCTGGTGCTAGCTACCCTCAGATTATGGTAGAATCTTACACGACAACAGCCAGAAGCGGTTGAACCGTAATTGGAATGAGAGACATTCCCCAAGGCAACATCAAGCAGTTCTATGGGCTCCAGACCGACAAGCTGGGCGAAGGTGGTTTTGGCTATGTCGTCGAGGACGGTTGCTTCCAGCAGACTCCAGGTTATACTTCTGCAGCCTTGAGTAGTTCTGTGGATACAGCAGGCATGTTTTACGTAACTCTTGCAGCCGATGTGTTTCTTTGCGGTTAGCGGGTAACTGTCGAGTTGGCGCAATATCGTCTCTATTACGCTGCATTTGATGTGATGTAGTTTCTGTGGGCCGCTTGAGGCGTTGACTGCCAGCACAGAACAGAAGTTTGCTTCCGAGGCAAAAAGCCTGGTCACGGCAAACAGGTATGCGGTCAAGAAGGTCTCCAAGGCAGGCCTGGTTCTGCATTGTTGCTGGTTCTGCAATGTTACTTGCTGATCACCCACAAGAGAACCTAGAAGATAGTGAGATAGTACCAGGATTTTCTGGGAATTCCAAGAGGATCATGCGCTTCAGCAATACTGTGTGGCTGGTGTTGCTTCTCCGAACGGCAGCCTGGCCATTAAGTCTGAAGGAAAGTATGTTGTTCAGTACCCGGGCCCATGCCGTTCAGGCTCAGAAGATACTGTACTATCATGTGCTATCCAAAATTTTGAGCCCCACTGGGCACCAAGAGTATCCAAGAGTCCAACTTCAGACACATCATCAGCCCCTGTACTCATGAATGCAGACTAAGGGGTGAGAATGGCTTAAAAGCTCCCAGCACCCTCATGGATCTCATGGCTTCCTCCTACTTGCCTAGTCCGGCTTCGCGCAGCCGGACCTTGGTGGACACGTGGTGAACATGGTGGATACCGCAAGCCCCACGCAGCTGTGACGCGTGTTCGCCATGTCTTTCCACATAACGGTAGCCATGATGAGTGGGAGGGCCGTGGACCTCGAGGTGGTCCGCGGCATCACCCTTACAGAGCTTGCCCGGAGAGCTCAGTTTTTACTGGGCGTCCGCGGTAGATTGCTCAGTGCCTCTGGTGTTGACCTGCATGGAGAGACGACTTTGGCGGAGGCTGGCATTCAGAGCGGAGACAATCTGACTTTACACACCCGCCCAGTGCTCATAGCCGCCGCAGACAGTGCCATGGCCGCCATTCTGGCCAACGGAAATGTTGTAACATGGGGCTATCCTCCAAACGGGGGTGACAGCAGTTCCTCAAAGAAGCAACTGACAAATGTCCAGCATGTACAACGCACAGACTTCGCGTTCGCTGCCCTGCGGGGTGATAAGTCGGTCATCACCTGGGGCAACTCCGCCTGTGGCGGTAACAGCAGCAAAGTTCAGACCCAACTGAAGGATGTGCGGGAGGTCCAGGCGACATCCTTAGCTTTTGCAGCAATTCTCAATAACGGATCAGTTGTAGCCTGGGGCAACGTTGAGTACGGGGGGGATTGCAGCGATGTGGAGGAGCTCCGGGAAGATGTCAGAGAGATCCAGGCCAGTGAGGCAGCCTTCGCTGCAATATTGACAACTGGGGAGGTTGTGACCTGGGGCTGGCCCGCTTATGGTGGTGACAGCCACGAGGTGTCAAGGCAGCTGAGGAATGTGCGGCAAATTCAAGCAGCACGGAATGCTTTTGCAGCCCTTCGGAACGATGGTTATGTTGTGACATGGGGCAATGCCGCCCGTGGTGGTGACAGCTCGCTTGTTATGCATCACTTGGTAAAAGTGAAGCACATACAAGCAACCGAGGCCGCTTTTGCAGCAATTTGCGAGGATGGCTTCGTAGTCAGTTGGGGTCACGTCGGCTATGGTGGGGACAGCTCAGGAGTTCAAAGTGAACTTTCGAATGTCACGCATGTTCAGGCAACGGCTTCTGCATTTGCTGCCATTCGTCGAGATGGCACTGTTGTCGCCTGGGGCAATACTGAAAATGGAGGCTGCAGCCAGGAAGTCGAAAGTGAGCTGGTCGATGTCCAGCAGATCCAGGCCACCAAATTTGCTTTTGCTGCCATTCGAGCTGATGGCTCCGTTGTAACATGGGGCAACCCAGCACGCGGAGGGGACAGCAGTGCTGTCCAAGACAAGCTCAAAGATGTTTGCAAGATCCAGGCTACTTCTGGAGCGTTTGCTGCAATTCTGCAGGATGGGTCTGTGGTGACCTGGGGGCACAACACCTGTGGCGGTGACAGCACAGCCGTCCAGAAGAAGTTGAGGACTGTGCAGCATATTCAAGCCAGCCGGTTTGCCTTTGCGGCTGTTCTAGGTGATGGATCAGTTGTCACGTGGGGTGCCTCCGGCGGTGGTGGCAACAGCAACGCCGTCTCGGACTATCTTTCAAATGCGGGTCTTATGGCTAGATGACGGATTGTCTGGAATGTGGCAGCATGTTTGATCTCAGAACCACGTATTGAGTTGAGCTGAAGCACGGCTGGAATCGTTGCAGCTCCCAGTGTTAGAAAGCTGGGCAAGCGCCTCTGAATCTCCAGACAGGCCAGCTCTGCCTCGTTTGAAATAGCTGTTGTAGACAGACGTTTCACCCTCCTCGTCGAAAATGCCCGCAACAGCAGATCATTTATCATGTGTCTCGAGGTTACCGCAGGCTCCCTCTAGAATCTCATGTTCACAAGGGCTCTGCAGGAATCCATGTTGGGCAACCGTGGACAATGCGCTTGAACTTACTTCATACCTGGGATTTGCTCCGAACTGTTGACATGGGTCACCTCTTGCGAAAGTCTCAGCTGTGGATTGTCTTTTGTTCTGCTCTTCCGGTGATCCTGGCCTGTCAGTCTCGCGTGATGGTGCTGCCTAGTCAGGGGTCTTGCGGGCATTGGAGAAATGTCTTTCCGCAACTGCAGTAGGCCAAAGCCAAGCAGAAACGCCTAGAGATCCGCAGCGAGATCGACATCATGAAGCTGTGCTGATCTCAGCGAAATAATGCGAAATACGCACCGCCATGAATCATCAGCATTTGGAACAGCTGCCATTCGTACCACTGCTACATTGAAAGTTGTTCATGGCTCGTCGATCCTGTGTTGTTGCCGCCTTGCGCTTTATGCTCTTTTTCACAGGACGGACCACCCAAACGTGGTGAAGCTCCATGAGACTTTTGAGGACCGCTCTCAGATGTACTTGGCCAGGAGCCCCAGTTGACGACATATCGAGCCATGCTTAGGACTTGCTGCTGGCCTTGGTAGTGTTCTTATTATGATTTTCAAGCATTGTTGGCACATGGTTGCTTCTGGAGGGCTTGATGTATCTTTTTGCGACATGCCATTCACTTGTTGCCGTTGGTAACCTACATGATTTGTTGTTTACGGGGCAATCTGCGCACACGTGCGGCTGCCATGATGCTCAACCATGTCCTGTTCCTGGAAGTGTCCTCACTTTTTGGGGAGCGCCGGAGGTGCTGGAGTTGTGCGCCGGGGGCGACTTAGACAAGCACATGAAGGGGCAAGGCGGTCCGTACAGCGAGTACCAGGCGCAAAAACCCTCATAACAAGCATTCCCCATGCACCAACAAGACCCAGACTTTCACGTGGGTGAAGTTCTCCTCGGCAACCAGACAAGTTCAATGTGACAGCAGCTCGCAGAGATGTCAGCACAAAAGTGAGCGGCTGACTTGGGATGATGATGTTGTGGAAGCAAGAAGGGTACAGCATGCTGCATCCAATTCAATTGGGTTGCTGTTGCAGTGAGATTAGCCAGTCTGTGCTTCAACGTCCAGTCAGGATGGAAGGTACTTTGGCATGACATGCTGGTGCGGGGATTAAATGCACACAGCGGCCAAAGCTGTCAACATGCAATCACAAGCAGAAACAGCAGAATCGTGATTCGTCTCCTCAGTACAATGTCGCCTGTGTCACCTTTGCATGGTTCTATTTTCTAGAAGTGCTTGCAACGCTGAGAGGCCGCGATCCTCATGGATCAAATTTTAAAATCCGCTAGTTCCTCAGGCAGTTTCATTGGCATATTTGACACGTCTGGCCCTACGGTTGCATGGGAAGTCCGTGTCAGAAAATGCTGCGCATCACCGTCTGTTTTTAATTGCTGCATTCCTTCCCATTCCCTACTCACCTCGCATATGACCTTGACCTTAGAAAAGTCGTTTGGCTCGTCCTTCAGCGTTTTCAAGGTGTCGTATCTCCATGACTGCAAGAGCATTTGCATGGAGCTCAGGATTTTTGCAGGGCTTGCTGTCCGAGCGCCTTGATGAATCAGCCTGTGTTGAGAAGTCCTGCGGAGCGCAATCGTTGCACAGCGCACCGCCAGGGGTATCTCAAAGGCCCAAGTTCCACCAAAAAGACATGGGACTCCATGCTTATGGGCCGCCACAAGAAGCACCTGCTTCGGGCCAAAAGCTGCCCGCCTATAACCCAAGTCGCATGCAAGGTTGACGAACGTGGCAATGGCATGCAATGGCAAACCCGCACAC